AAAAAGCTGGAACTCAGATTTTTTAACCAGGAAGTTATAGGCCTATGAGTGAGTTTTGATTTATCACAATAAATAGACTCTGATCTATAAGATTTTTTCTCTTACTGAAATGCCACCATTATGTGATTATGCAGACAGGCTCTCTCTGTATTTCCTGTGCTTCCTGCTCCTGCTCCAAGCATTGCACTTTCCCCAGCCTGTGGTGATTTTCAGGAGTTACAAAGTTCGGGTTGCACTGCTGCAACCAACCTTCAGCCAGCTTTGCCACAGCAATATCCAAACACCCAGGCTTGGTCTTTTTCCTAAGTTAGAGATGCTTTAAAAATGGGGATATACTGGTCAATGCAGTCATTGGTTTACATGGTGACTGGAAACAGCCATTATTTTTATATAGGGTCAATATAATTAACCAACCACCTAGAGAAATGTTTTTTGGATAATGCCTGTGTTTCTTTAACATGCAGAAGAAAGGATGCATTCAAATAAACTGTTTTATGACTGTAAACCACATTTATTTGTTTTTATTGTAAAAAGTGCCCAATCCAGCTGAATAAAGTAGCAGAGGGTTGGTCTGAGGGGCTGGTACTTAGCAGTGAATATGCCCCGGTGTGAGTGAGGGCAGGAGCCACGGGTGCACTCCAGGTGAGGGTGGCTGCCAGTCTCAGGCAAGAAAAGCCTTCCTGCTGTGAAACGAAACCAGTACAAACCAGGAAACAAAAATAAATATTCATTCAAGCTGCCCACGTCAGACTGCTGAGGAAGCAGACAGGTCAGTTTGGTTAATCATTACCAAGACGGACATTCCCCACTGATCATATGACCAGACCACATCTGAGATAAGAAAACACCCATCCTGAGCAGAAGGAATTGAAAAGCCTCCCTTATTTACRTGTTCTGACATTATTGTTTTGCTAATACAGAAGAGGCTCCACAGTCCCCTGTTGCTCTCAGAGCTCAGCCCAGCACAGCTGTTGGGTTGCTTTCCTGTTCTGAAGAGGAAGTGAGAAATTCCCTCCACACGTGCACGGGCACTTGAATGCTCAGGTTTCACTCCCAAACCGGGAGCCATCTGTAATGAGCTCTCCGTGGGATCCAGAGAGAAGATTCCAGCTGTGCCAAGGGTTGTTTCATTTCGTGCCAAAGGAGGAGGGGGAGAAGAAGTCTGAAAAAAGCTAAGATGTAGATGGTGCAARAATTGGTCTAAGGATCTTGCAATCAGGAAAAGCAAAAGAAAAGCAGAAGCAGAGGAAGAATCAGGATGGGAAACTTTTGCCAGAAGCACTGTCCCTGTTTGGAGCCTTACATCCCCTGCTTATTCYTGGGGAGAAATGGTGAGCAGGAAGACAAAGTCGGCCAAGTCTTCACCAACCTTGCTGTTGTAAAACCTGATYTCCAAGCAGGACAGAAGGACCCAGAGAGTAAGATAAAAGAGAAACCTTTACCTCCMCTGCCTGGCCAGGATCTAGCAAACACTTGCACCTTTGTGGCTCTGTTCGACTACGATGCTCGCACTGAAGAGGACTTGAGCTTCCAAGCTGGGGATAAGCTGGAAGTTCTGAATGCATCCCACGAGGGATGGTGGTACGCCAGGCTCCTCCTGCCAGCGGGGTCAGYCTGTCCTGGCCGAAAGCTCACAGGCTACATCCCTGCCAACTACATAGCCCCTGACGAGAGCATCGAAGCTGAGCCGTGAGTAACCCCCAYCATGTGAAATGAGACTTTTTGTGTTGTGTTAAATGGGTTTGGGACAGGAGGTCACAGMCTTTTCTCTTGCTGGGTAGTACCCTGTCACACTCCACCTCCGGTGGTCCTAGAGGTGGCAGTGCTGGCATGTGCATGGAAAACACACCGTGGTCGCAAGAAAATTAATTAACAAAAGGCAGARTGTGGAGGGTTTGTATTTTGTTTTAAATTATTTCCCTCTCTGGTATACAGTCATCAGATTTTTARAAAGTCGTCTGGGAAGATCAAGTTGGTTACTGCTGTGATGGTTCATTTWTTTTATTTTTACAAAGTGTATTTGAGTAAGTGTGTATCAGATGCCACCCAAAGCAAAAATATATGAACTGTCCTGAACRGTGTTCAGCTCCACCAGCTGCAAAGTTACCAATTAATCAGTTAAAGCAAGCTACCTTTACACATTTTTATCTTTTTCCAAATGATGGGTGAGTCTCTAACAGATAAGTTTCATATGGTTTCTTCTAGATTATATGCAAATTGTCTGGAGGCAAATCTCTACTGTCAGGACAAACTTAACTGGAGCAAGTACTGCAAAGGGCAAAAGTGGATACAGTAACAGTACAAATTAAGTTATTAAATTTTCACAGAGTTTAATTATCCATCTCGTGTTTTTCTGCCCCTTCAAAGAGTGTCAAATCTTATTAGATATGCTGAAACAGAGCAGAAATCATCCAGTATCATTTACTTAGCTCCCTARTGAGCATGAGTAAGGTTTGAGTCAGCCTAGGCTGCGCAGTTATTTCTCTATGTTGCAGTCAGAGGCAATGTTTGCTGAAACTGGTCTGACTGCAGTTCCAGGAGTATGTTTTGACAAAAATTATCAGTTTGTAAAGAAACAGCATAAATGACATTCATTATTAGTCTCAGAATTAATGCTGACTTTAGAGTGATGATGGTGCAGCTTTTCACTTAAATCTCATCTCTGACCTGATCTGCCCACTGTACTGCCAAGGGCTGGGAAAATTGGCTCAGATATGATTATGCCAGTCTTTTATCAGCTGTAGGATTTGTGCTAGAGGCATTTTAGGGCAACTCTAAGATTAATCTCTAACCTGAAGACCTTAATTTCCAGAGTCTGACCAACTATTTCCATTTCTGTATTCAGGCAGACAACAATTTCAATGGCCATGTTCAAAAAAATTCTTCCAACTGGAGAAATTAATCTKCAGGGAAAGCATTTTCTGAATCACTAGATAAATGGTGGTAGGCTCTAATTCAGCTCAGCTTGGCCTTTGCTCTCTTTCAAGAGCTAGTTTTATTAGAAGTCATCTGATTTCTTCATGCTGTTAATACTTTGGAAGTAATTTTTCTCAGTTATACAACGTCTCAACTCCTAAGGTCCTTATCTTTCTGTACCTAGAGCTTCAAATACAAAGTCAAGTTTGCCAAAGTGCATTGTTGTGTAACCTCTGGTTTTTCACTTGTTACTGAATCAATTTTATTGTTTTTTACCTTTTTCATAYACCTTTCTCCCTTTATCATAAAGACTAAGTTACAGCAAAATATTTTTCTCCATAGATTGTTAGAACACTCAAGAGTAAAACATGAAGGGCTTTTCCGGCTCTCAGATGAAGTAATTTCTCCACAATGAGTTTATAATTTCACAGCTAAACATGTTAAGATCTGGCTAAACATGTTGTCTTTTCTCAGATTTCTTTCTAAGTCACTTGGMTTTCGTGATCTTCATGTATATACAAGACTAATCATTCTGCTGTCAGCCCACACACTTATAACAGTAGACAGGTTAGAAAGGACATCTGCAGGACATTTGAAGTGTTACCCCAACTCAAACATGGCCAAAATAAAGCTAGACCTCTTTGTTGAGCATTTGCAGTTGAGCTATTCATCCTCACAGYGAGGATTTTTATTGCCTTGTATCAGATTGGAATATCCCTTGCTACAATTTCCTCCAAGAATTCCCTTTCACCCACMCTCTGTAGTTCACACCTCTTATCCTAGAGAAACAGTAAGAACAAGAGTAATGATGGTTTAACTAACCCTTGTTTTCCCTAAAGCTTGAAAGTAGAAAAAAAGTTGTTCCAACATCCCTTTAATTAAAATTCAAGGCTCTAATCATATTCACTGACCCAACTTTACCTTCTCTCATCTTTTCATTTTGATTTTATTTCCCTTTGGTGTTGACCAGTTGGTCATGGCCATGATACAGACATTTGTGGAAATAGGGGAAGTTTCTAATGCATCCTTGCATCCTGTATGGCAGTCCTTTATGGTCCCAGCACAGAACAGACAAAGAATGGAAGACTTACAGTCTCATGTTCACCTGCCAAAATGCACATTTACTATATATTTGCAGTGTGTTTTTTATGCTTGCAATATTTGTCAGATGCAGYTGACTCTTTGACCTAACTGAATACATGTTTTGTAGCAACAACCAGCTTCTGTACATCTGCAGAGAAACTGGAATTTTATTTCTGGATTGCATGTACATCTTATTAGACAAAGAAACACTGGCTGTTGTGTCCTGAGAAACAGACTTGATTCATGGTGTGACTCTTAGGAAGCTTGGGAAGAAAACCAAACCAACCAAACTAAACCAACCATATTCTTTGGCAGCTGATTTCAGCCTGTTTGTGTAGAAACTATTAAAAAGGTTACATTCATATGCATGCATGGCTACTCCATAAAGTCAGTGAAACAAAGGRATAGAGGTGCATGAAATGTTCTATRGTGACAGATGACAGGGCCACTCTGTAAGTTTAGCCAATAGGTTCTTGAAAGCTGCTTGCAGAACAGTCAAATTTTTTTTGCTAATTTTTTCAGTTTTGCCTGTGACCTTCAAGAATATTAACAAGCAAATATGTCTGGCCCTCTTTTATCAACATATTGACATGGTCTTTATTGTAGAGGCAGTTAGAGATCGAATAGTCCATCTGGATCTGTGTTGTCAGTTCTGGCATAGAATAGTGCTGGGTCATTGCTTGTTCTCAGCAAGTGCTGCAGCAGACCAGTCTGTCTCCTTGCTGAAGTGTGTGTGAATTTTTATCAGGGAGATAGTATTTTTTCTTTTTTTTTTTTTTTTTTTTTTTTTTTTTTTTTTTTTTTTTTTTTTTTCCTTGGTAAGAAACAGAATGACGTAAAGCAAGAAGGAAAGTGAGAAACTTCTTTAGATAACAGTTTTTCTTCCTGGTTGTCTCTGACTGTCTGATATGACTGAAGTAGTGCTGATAAGGTGGATCAATAACTGGGTCAAAGGTCAGAAAGGATGTGCAGTATCTCCAGTCTGGGAAAAAAAAATAAACACTACTTAGAAGAAAGGGAATTTTCATGTATATTTGGCTATCAGAACTAAGAAAGAATGAGATTTCTTTACTGTGTTGCTCTCCTCAGACTAAAGGTAATTGGTAGAAGTCATATACTAAAACTGAAAGGGTCATTTTGTATACTATATTTTACTAGTATTTTAATATCTACATTATATAATAGAACTAACTTATGTCAAAAGTCAAATACTTCTTATTCGTGCATAATTTCTTGTTTAAAAGAAAGGTTAATTTGCTTCCTTCCTTTGGCCTGAGAGATCCCTTCCTGGGTGAATGACTTGGATAAAGTTAGTAACAATCTGTGTTAATAGGGGAAAAAAAAAGATAAATCCATGGCTTGGGCTCAGTCTGCTGCAGAATTTCAGTCCAAATGTGTGCTGCACAAGATGAAATACATCCAAGAAGAGCACACCTGCTACCATGAAGTCTGTTTTGGACAGACTGAGGAAACAAGAGCCTTAATTTTTATATTTACCAGTAAAGCATCTTCTCATTGYTGAGCTCTTCTAGCACCTGCAGTACTTCTTATACCAAAAACAATCAGGTGGAGAGATTGTGAAGGAATTGAGTCTAATGTCTCTGGATACAGGTGTGTTTTCCTGGCCTCATCTGGAGTAGGTGGGACAAAGCAGTTGGAGAGTAGAAGAGTTCATCTGGCAAACCATAGTCACATAGCAAATGTTCTTTTCATGAGGAAGAAAATCTGGTACCATGAAAACATTATTTTAAATAACATCTGGCCAAAAGCGGACACAGACTATGTTAATGATAAATTAGCAACTGTAACAGCATTTCGTGCTTTTYTTCTATTTGTGTCACAGGTAGCAGTCAAAACCACAAGCCAGATAGATTTTTCATTTCTAAGGTAGTTTGAATGAGGTTTTATCTGCTGCATCCCATGAATTTGGAATGGTCTTCTTTCTGTGTTTAGACACATAACACTTAGAGAAAGGAAAACAAATAATGCTATTGGAGATAGAATCACATATTTTAATTTACATATCCAACAAAGGATTATCAGAAAGAACAAGTTGGCAAATACCAAAATCTGAGTTAAAAGACAGATTTCCTTGGCAAAGAGTGTGACCTTCCTGTCTCTGTGYGCCTTCTCTGTGCCTGTTATTCTGCACTACAAACAGGAACCATAGTAACACATTCACCTGCCCTTGTTTTATTATTGCCTGYTGTTTAAACTAAACAAGAAAATGACATAGTGCAAATTGTTGTGGATGAAAAATATAGCCCAGCTGTACAGTCARTTTTAATGGAGCAAAAATAAAAGAAAACACCTCACTGCTGGAGTGACATGAATTCTTTGTTTGCTAGGGGAGTGTGCTGAGAGGGCGCTCTTGCCTKCCATCCTGATGGACCTCTTGGCTGTTTATTGACAGTCAATTTACAACCATAAAATCATAGAATCACTGAGGTTGAAAAAGACCTCTCAGATACTCGAGTCCAACCACTGTGTTCATCACTAAACTATGTCCGCAAGTGCCACATGCACATGCCTTTTGAACACTTCCAGGCATAATGATTCTACCAGTTCCCCAGGAAGGTTGTTGCAGTGTTTGACAACCCTTTTCATGAAGAAATTTTTTTTTTAATAGCCAATCCCCTTCCTTGGCACAACTTCTCTTCCTCTCAGTTGTTGTCTGGAAGAAACCGACC